GGCTGGACGCGCCGCGCTCCCCCTCGCTGGGGCAGGACAGCGGGCACCCCCGCGGATACCCAGGTACGAGCTGGCCCCGCATCGTTCCTCGCACGAGTTCCGTCCCGCGTCGCTCCGGAGGGGGTGGAGGGAGGGACGGAGGAAGGGAGGATGCCAGCGGGGGTAGCGCCAGTCCCCGCTCAGGGTGCGGGATCTCTCCCGCGTAGGGATGCGGGGTGACGGACGCGGGACGCGGTAGCTCCGGCCGGAGCTGTTCTGTTCGGGACACCCGGCCGAGGCTGCGTTACCTCCCCGCTCCTCCCGGGCCCCTCCCGGCTCACCCCGTGCCGCTCCCGCAGCCGCGGAACGCGCTGGGGACAAAGCTCCGCACCCCGAAGTTCTCGGGACGGGTCCCGGCGGTCCCGGAGACCCCGAGCCAGCTCTGCCGGGGCTGCACTCGGGACGCCGAGCGGGGCCAGCCCGAGCTGCGGGTCGGGCCGAGCACCCCCAGGGCTGCCCAGAGCAGCCCCACTCCAGAGCCTCCAGCCGGCTCCCGGGGACTGCCGGAGCCCTGGGGGACCGAGGGGATCCCGGACAGGAGGGGCTGCGGTTCAGTGGGAGAAGTTCGGGGTTCAGTCGCTGGGATGGCCGCGGGCACAGGGGACGAGTAAATGGGGACAGAGAGGAGTGTCTGACAGGGATGGAAGGTGCTGGTTCTCAGAGACATCGCTCCCGGGCACATGTCACCGGCCTGGGAGGGAAATTAAGATACGGTGTTTTAATGGAATGTGGTAATACGTTGAGGGGTGGAATGAGAAATCAATCAAAGCTTTTTTCTTCTTATCTTTCTCTTCTTTTGAGTTTTGTTACTCAATTTGGTTGCATAGACCATAACATCCTTTCAAAAACTCTTTGGCTTAAGTGGTTTCAATAATTTGGGGGTAATGTGAGGTGACAGAGGGTCTAAACTGGTGGGACATGTCCACTGCACAGGGCTGTGGTGGTGATGGGTGTCTGGGCCTGGAGGGAGCAGAGCCATGGTCTGGACAGCAGGAGATGCTTGTTCCCAGCCACAGCCACCTCTGGAGTCCAGGAGCGAGGTGAGATGGAAGGATGCCAGAGCTTGGGGCAGCTGTGGTGACCTGCTGCTTGCTGGGGTTTCTTCCTCTGTTCTTCAGATCACAGGGCAGATGGGCTTTTCCCTGGCTTCAATGCAAGCAGGGCTGAGTGCTCCTGAAATCCAGGGACGTCCTTCTCATGTGCAGCCTGCATATCCTTGCGATTTATTTGCCTCATGAAGTTCTAACAGACTTTATTAATGACCTGATTTTGTTGTGCCTATAGAAATTGGCAAATGTATTTGGGCTGCTAGCACAGCAATGTTTTAAATTGTATCCTCTGAAAATGCTTGATTGTTTACTTTGAATTTAATAAAGCAGTTAATTTGAAAATGTGAAACGAGTTCTGGGAAACCTGCTTAGAGAATTAACTCAAACCCAAGTGTAAACCTTGTTGCTCTAACCTGATAGTGTTGCTAATTATTTGACTTTTATATTTTTTAGGATGGTGTATATTTGGCTGCTTTTATTTGTTGTGTCAAAGTCTTGTGGGGCTGAGTTTGCCCACACTAAAAGGAGTTTTGGAAGTCCTATGTCCTGTGTTGCACTCAGACTTTCTGATTCTGTATGGGTTAATCTTGCTTTGTGTAGATCCGTGGCAAAACAGCTAGAAATGGCAATATGCCAAAAAATATTTGGTGATCAAATTAGAAATCCACCCTCAGTTAATCCCTTGGATATCTATAGACCTGGCTCCTCTCAGCAATGTCTCCAGCCAGAACAACAAAGACCATTTTTTCCAAGCCAACCACACCAAAACTGTGGAGCAGGAGTTCTCAGCAAGGTGCAAAACTGGAACACCCTGGGTCAGAGCTGCTGCACTGGCTGTAGGACCAGCTGTGACCCCTGAGCACATGGGGCTGTGCCAGACATTAGCTGGGAGTCTGCTCTCCATGCTCCTCACCCTCTCTGCCACCTCACTGGGGTTCACCATGGTGCCATTCCACCTTCACAAACACCCATGTGGAGCTGAAATTTGAACTCAATATGAATTGAGTCAGCTGGACATACTGCTGGCAGTCCTAAGCAGTTTAGATAACTAAAATGATGGTTGCTTGTATAATTTTAAATTAAACTCTTGTTCATTTAAATGTTATTTATACATCACTGTTTGCTGCCAATTGTTGTACAGCATTTATACAGTATCTTTCATTACACCTCATTTCATTTCACCTTATTGGTGAAATGATCCTTTATGATTTTTTCAGGCCATGAGCAATAGGGTGATAATAAAGATTTGCACAGATAAACTCCCTCACATGTTCCTTTAGAGAGGATAAAAAAAATGTGGCAGGATTAACATTTGAATTAACGCATGAATGAGAGAGAAATTAAAGGAAGTTCCTTAGTACAGCCTTGATGCCTGTAGTACTTAGAGGGTCTTATAGCTTCCTGAGACACAGCTGTGAGATTCAAACACCCTGTGCTTCTCCTGGTCTTGCCTTCTTTAGAAGGACTGACAGGAGCAGGGAGATCAGTCCCACCCTGTATTTGGGGAGGGCCAGCAGTGTGCTTCCCTGGCTCACCCCGAGGGAAGCTCAGCAGGGCAGAAGCATGGGGCAAGGGAAGAGCACAACAAATGTCTGAAACTCAGAAGAGCCTTCTGTACCATGGCTGTTGTGCTGTCACAGGGGTATTTAGAGTGTTACTGTGGTGGTGTTCTGTGGACACTCATCAACCAGCACTTGCCAGGCTCGGTAAGTTCTCTGGAGAAGGCTCTGAGATTCTGAAAGGCTTGTGTCAGGTGCCCTGAGCACTCTCCTGCCCTGTGGGAATCGCAGTGGAGCAGAGTGCTGTCATCAGCCACTGAGCTACTGGTGCCTCTGAAGCTGCCCAGAGTTTACTGGGGGCTTTTGGGTGAAACAGGAAAGAGAGGAAGGAGCACAAAGGCATATAATTATTTTTAGTCCTTGTATTGCTGAAGTGGGAGGCTCTGGCCCTCTGGTTATCCAAGGTGGTACCTTTTTTTCTGTGATTCCTCTCATTCCTCAATACCTTCCTGTAGCTCTTTGAGACCAGGCAGCACATACTTCTGTCAACGCAGAGATGCATCCACAAACACGAGTGCAGCCACAGACAGAGAGGCAGTAAATGCAGGATCTGGCAGAAACACTCACTATGACAGGTTATAAATCAGATTTCACTGCTGAGCTGTTGTCTTGTAGTTGTGGTTCTGCCTTGTCCCTCCACTTTCCAGACCAGGGAAGGGGAGAGGTTTCATGATGTGGGAAGTGCTGCAGGCTGCAGTGAATGCTCCATTCAGACCTAGTTGTGGGAGGCATTATCTAGCAGACACCACTGAAAGAAGGTGACAGGGTCTCTGGCTTAGAACAGATAAAAGTTGCAGTTTGCTGGAGGAAAGGAGAGGGACAGCACATATTGGCTCAGTTGTAGCCTGGATGTTGATGGCCAGGGTGGGATGCTGGTGCCAGGATGTACCTTTGGTGTGACTTAAACTGTTTGCTCTTTTGTTGTGAGCAGCTTTATTTTTCTGAAGTCAATTTCCTTGGCAGTGCAGAAACCAAAGTTATGTTACTAAGAACTTAGAGTTTCTCTTCCAGGACAGCAAAAACAAAGTTGTTCTTCAAAGCCAGGAGCGCTGCTGCTCTGTAGAACATGTGCATGGAATTTTGTCACCTTGTCCCTGCGATCCTGAGATGTGGTTCAGTTTTTAGGCTGCAGAAGAAAACATGGGTCCCAAATTCCCATTTCCACAGGACAGAAGGTGATACAACTTGGAATACATGGGCTTGTCATTTCTCCAGTTATTTCTCCTTTCTTGTTCTCCCATGAGCTCAAAGTAAAACCTTGTGTTAAGTAATGTAGAAGAAGTGGCAGTTGCAGAATGTCAGCTTTATCTCCTGTACTGCAAGGTGTTAATCTGGGTGGTTAGGCACTTGCACCAGGCATTGACAGTGCCCCGAGGGAAGGATTTTTGTGCTTGTCACAAAGCTCTGGAACAGCACAAAATAGAGAATGAAGAGAGTTATTGGGTTTTCTGAGTCCTCCACACTGCAGGACTGTTCCAGGTGATTCTCCAATGCTTCATCCTAGGTACTCTGAAATTACCTAGGTTAGAGAGACAGAATTAGAGTAGACTTCTGAATTTCAGCTAATGAATGAGATGAGCTGAATGCTTTGTATCCAAAACATTGAAATTTAAAAAGTCACAGTCTCAAAACACAGAAAACCCCAATGACAGTGATTGACACAGCATTTTCTGGGTGGTGTGGCGTGGTCTATTTTAAAGTGCAAAACCACTGCCAGTTTTGCTGTTCCCACTGTGGCAGAGCCAGGACATCCTTGGACCTTTCCCCTGGATAAGCAGAGCATCCCCAAGCATCTCTGCAACTCTACAGCAAAGAGATTTGTAACTCTGCTGGAATTGACATGACTTTGCTTATTAATCATGATTGCCACTGACTTTTTATGTGCACTGTAGATTCTTGCCCTCAGTATTATGCTGGGGACAAGCTGACACAAAGGACAATTGTTAGTTTTCATTTAGGCATTTTATTGACATGCTGTCTTTGAAATGCAGCCGCAGATGAGCAAGCATGTTATTCTAAGGAGCAGTTTTGACTGGCTGAGTGGATCAGGATTGGTAGAGAGGTGATTTTGCAGTCTGCATGAACGTCTGCCTCTCATTTGGCTGTCAGATGACAGTGAGAAATGCAGAAGTTGCAGAATGAGCAACTGCTCCCCAAAATAAATCGATTCCTGTGTCTGCTGAGGGTCTCAGGGATGAGGTTGAGCTGGTGCCTGGGTTACAAACGAGCCTTTGCAGCAGAGCAGAGGCCCTGTGGCCCAGCAGCATCTTTAGGGGGGTCTGTAGCAGCTTGGGGGGACAGCGCTTGCGGCTACTTCAGCCCAAACTGGAGAGCTGGTGGCTGGTAGAAGCAGTGTTGGGGAAAGGGATGGGTTAACTGCTTGCCTTTCCTCCCAACAGACCTGAGAGAGATGATTCCATTATTATTTCTGGGATGAAATAAAGCCAGTCACAATGCTGCTCATGTATGCCAGACTCCTAAGCAGAATAGCTTTGATTGGGAATGGATTTGAGGAGAGGTGAAAATAGGGACAAAAGTTGAGTAGGGTGAAGGGATGGTGTACAAAATTCCCTGAGTGTACATATAGGCTGAGAACAGTGTGTGGGAAGATGATTTGGCCTGGTGGAGCTCAGAGAGGTTCAAAGGGCAAGTTTTGGGTTTTGATTTTTCCTATTCAGTGGAGCAGAAATTTGTGCCTTCGTGTGAAAGCAGAATTACACCCAGGAAGGTTTCTGCTTACAGCCACAGTTATTTCCAAGATCTTTGCTAGCTGTTTGTGTCCAAAGAGGCATCTGGACTGGACACAGAGGTTCTGCTTTGCTCTAAGAAGCAGTGCCCCACAAAACCAGGGACAGTTTTACACAGCAGGGAGAGCTCTGGTGTTTGGCCCATTATTCTTAATACCTGCAGAAGTTTAGATTAGGGCTAAGGTTTTCATTCATTTTAATCTGTGTCAGCCCAGAAGCTGTATTCTCAGGTGTAGCTCTGAGTTCCCTAGCCATGTACAAAGGAAGGGCAGGACATGAGGCTGCCACCTTCAGCTCTGCTCTCTCAAGCTGCTTGTCATTCTGTGCATAACTCACCTGCAATCATTGACTTTTTAAATGGGAAAAAGCAAACACAATGCACTGGTTCCCTGTCCTTATACTGCCATTCCTGTCAATCTTTGTGCCATCTTGCACCAGTTCCTGTGTGCAGGGAGGCCGAAAGTAGATGTGTTTATTGACTTGTGCTGTTAATCATTGCTGTGCCTGAGCTGTTCCTGGCAGGATGCTGCGTGGCTCTCCCCGAGCAGGCTGCGGGGTGCTCGGGGGCTGCACATCCCTCTGCATGAAAGCCCAGAACAGGAAAGCCAAACTCTCTCAAGACAAGAACCAACCAGGAGAGAAGAAAAATAGAAAGTGATAAAACCACGGAGAAGGGTTTTAAATC